GGAATTCTGGGAGTTGCAGTCCACAAGTCTTCAAGTGGCCAAGGTTGAAGACCTGTGGACTAGATGACCTCCAAGGTCCCTTCCAATTCTGTTATTCACTATTCCTGGGCAGACCAAGAAAGCGGGCCAGTTCAGTAACTTGGTTAAGCCCTGTTGTATGAACCCAAACGAAGGAACCATCCTCTATGTGTGTGTATAAGGGGGTTCAATGGGGGGGGGCTAGTTTAGAGAGGGGGGGAGATGAGAAAGGAGGCAAATGCAGACTGGCTGGCTGGCAAGCGGGACTACACAACCCATCATCCCACGCAGAATGAGTCCCGCCCCCCCGTGGAGGTCGGGCCATCAGCTCCCATCAGCCGCCCACAAACACCCCCCCACCCCCCACCCGCGGGGGCCACCTGGCGACTCCAAAGGAAGACCAGGTGGGGGGTCGGACTACACATCCCATCCTCCCCAGCCACGGGAATCTCGACGGGAAGCCGCCTCCCGGGAGAGCCTGGCATCTTCGGGGAAGGACGGGGACCCCCGCCGCCCTCCCCGCTCAGCAGAGGAGGCTGGCTGGGGAGGATGGGAGGTGTAGTCCGCAACGCCCCGCGAGCTTCCGGCCGGGCAGGATTGAAGGCAGCGGAGGAAGGAAAACGGGGGCCGCCCGAGGAAACGGGGGGGGGGGGCGCGTCTCAAGGGGGCGCAAGACGACGAGACACCCCCCCCACCCACCCCAAAAAAATACTCCCACCTGCGCGCCGTCGAACCTCAACTGCCGCCTCTGGGGAGATGCTCCGCCCTCTTCCCTCCATTAGGCTCTGGTTCAACCGCTTCCGAGCTGTCATTGGCTCGTGGAAACGTCCATCATCCTTTCCTGTTCGTGGTAGGCCTAGTCGCCCGTCATTCAAAGAAATAGGGCCTACCCCCTAGCGAAGCCCCTCCCTTCGCTTTGTTGGTGTCGCGCCCTCTGATTGATAAAAGCCGCCCCATCTGCGTCGCGGGGGGTGGGATGGGGAGGCGGCAGCTCGTCCCTGATTCGCCCCTTGAGGACGCATAGAACTCCCGTTTGCCCGACTATTGGAGGCTCAGCTTGTCAATCCTGGAGCCGGCGGGGATGCTCCTCGCCCCTCCGAAGGGGCGGAGGAAAGGTTGAAAAAGGACGCCGCCTTTAGCGTCACCTAGCGGCTGTTCGGGGCGAAGCAGAGCGACCGGCCCTTTTCAGACAGAGACTTCGCAGGTTCGAGACCCGCCTGTGCCAGGTGTAAAGCAGGCAAAAGGATGCGCGTTGCAGAAACCGAAAGCAAAATTGCTTTTTTTGTTGTTGTTTTGCCTCCGTTAGTTTACGATATTCAGTTAGGGATGCGCTTAACGCTCCAGTTTCCAAACAGATATGAAACTGGCATGTGGAGTTTTCCATGCATTGGTTATTTCATTGGACTGGAAATTTTAAGAATTCTACATCGTTAGACATGCAGCTCTTTTGATTTAACGGGACAAGTGGCAACGTGGGTATTTTCCTGGGCATTCAGTGAAATGTAGTGAATGGCAAATCAATAACTGTTCAGTTACTATGTAAGTAATTCAGTACCCAAGAGCGATGGATGGAGGCACATCAGGACACTTCACCTTCTCAAGCTTTAATATTTTCTGCCTGGTTTTCCAGAAGTTGCTTGTCTTTATTCCAAACCACTCCAGGCACCAACAGAAAATTGCTTCAACTAAGAAACCTGACCATAAAAAAAAAAAAAAAAGGAGCCAGAAACTGCAGAACTGAAGTCTGAATAAATTCTGGGGAAAAAAACGAGAACATCCAAATCCATATCCGATTTAAAAGAATCAGCATCATCAAGACTCCTTTAATGAAGAAAATTGATCCTCCTCTCATTAAAAACAAATTTCAATTAAGTATGGCAGCATGAAACTCCAGCAGGATGTCATCAGACATTCTGGAATACGACCCAAGGTAAATCCACAAATCCTTATAAGATCTTAGTTAGCTTTTGCATCAGAACCAACCTGTGAAAGGAGCAGAATTGTTGCAAATAGAAAACTTCAGGGGTCTCTCTCTTGTTTTTTTTTTTAAGAGTGCACAAAGGATGGGAAAGCCATTCTCTGCTCCTTCGCCATTTCTGCCTGGAACTCTGAAAACAGAGAAAATAATGTATTGACTTTGATCTTGCCTTTATTATTTTTACAAAGTGGTAAACACATCCAACACACCTCCTAATTTTCCCGCAACAACAACCCTGTGAGGTGGGTTGCGAATGGCCCAGAGAAACCCAGCTGGCTGTCATGCCTAATGTTGGACTAGAACTCCCAGTCTCCTGGGGATTGGCCCAAAGTCACCAAGCTAGCTTTCAGAGCTATTTCTTGCCTGGGTGTAAAACCTTGTTTTTCTCCCCATTAAATTTAATTTTGTTGGATAGGGCCAATTGTTCAAGTCTGTCAAGATCTTTTGGGGAGGTTGGCTAGTCCTGCCAGGTGAGTATCACCTGCAAATTTGATGAGGCCCCCTTCTATTCCCTCACCCAAATCATTTATGAAGATATTGAAGAAGACTGGGCCTAAGATGGAACTTCGTGGTACCCCACTGCTTAGTTCCCTCCGTGTAGTACCATTAAGGATGACTCTTGAGTACGGTTTGGCAGCCAGTTACAAATCCATCTGGTGGTGGACGGTGCCTATCCCACTTTTTCTAACTTACTAAGAGGTAGGTTGTAGTCTACTTTGTCAAATGCCTTGCTGAAGTATAAATATACTATATCCACAGCATTTTATTCATTCACTTAGTCACTTTGTTGAAGAATTATTGTATGACTGTATGAATGACTGTATCAGTGGTGGGATTCACATTTTTTTATTACCAGTTCTGTGGGTGTGGCTTGGTGGGTGTGGGGTGGCTCAGTGGGCGTGGCTTGGTGGGCATGGCAGGTGAAGGTTACTGCAAAATCCCCCTTCCCTCCCCAGCCCACTAACCTGCTTTCCAGCTCCGTTCTCCTGTGCAGGGCAACCAAAGGAGACCCAGCCGATCAGCTGGGACTTGATGGGAGGCAGAGAATAGGTGGGGTTGGCGGGGCCAGTCAGAGGAGGTATTTGCCAGTTCTCCAAACTACTCAAAATTTCCGCTATCGGTTCTCCAGAACCAGTCAGAACCTGCTGAAATACCAACTCTGGACTGTATGAATGTAACTTGTATCCTTACAATTTATATTGACTATTTCCTAGTATGATTGCTTATTGTACCCTATAACTATCATTAAGTGTTGGACCTGATGATTCTTGATGAATGCATCTTCTCTTTTATGTACCCTGAGAGCATTTGCACCAAGACAAATTCCTTGTGTGTCCAATCACACTTGGCCAATAAAGAAGTCAATTCAATTCAAATAAGATTGGTTTGGCATGATCTGTTTTTGATGAACCCATGTTGACTTCTGGTTATAACTGCGTACTTCTTTTTACAGATCGGTTGCTTGATTATCTCTTCCAGGATCTTCCCAGATATTGATGTCAGGCTGATGGGTTTGTAGTTTCCTGGGTCTGTTTTCCCCTCCTTTTTTTTGGAAGATGGGAACCACATCAGCTGTTTTCCTCAGGTGCTCCAAGACTGTTGAAAGATATGGTTCAGTGGTTCTGAGATCACACCTGCCAACTCCTTCAGAATTGTGGGATGTCATCTTCCCAACTTCTCACCCAGGGGTTGGTTGGGGGGAGAGGCAGCCATTCCTCATCAGAGGTGATCTGGAGTCTGTCATCTCAAAAAAGCCAACACAATCCTAAATTGCATCAACAGATACAGTCAAGATCAGGCGAGGTACTAATACCACTCTATAAAGCCTTAGTAAGACCACACCTAGAGTACTGCATCCAGTTTTGGTCACCACACTATAAAAAAGATGTAGAGACTCTGGAAAGAGTACAGAGAAGAGCAACCAGGATGATGAGGAGACTGGAGACTAAAACATACGATGAACGGTTGCAGGAACTGGGCCTGGCTAGTCTAGGGAAGAGAAGGACCAGGGGAGACAGGAGAGCATCTTTCAATATTTGAGGGGCTGCCACAGAGAGGAGGAGTGGGTCAAGCTATTCTCTAAGGCACCCGAATGCCAGACAAGGAATAAAGGATGGAAACTGAAGAAGGAGAGAGATTCAACCTGGAAATAAGGAGTGGTATTAGTCCCTCCCTTGCTCTCGATTGTATCCCTCTGTTAATGCAATTTAGGATTGCATTAGCTTTTTTGGCTGCTGCTGCACACGGCTGGCTCCTATTTGGCTGGTTGTCCACGAAGACTCCAAGATCCCTCTCCCAGTTCCTGCTATTGAGAAATCTGGTTTCATCCAGTCTATGTGTGTCCTTTTGTTTTTATTCTTGCCTAAGTGTAGGACTTTACTTTTCTCTACATTGAATTTCATTTTGTTAGATACGGCCCAGGGTTCTAGTCTGTCGAGATCCCTCTGGATCTTCAGCCGATCCTCTTGGCTATTCCCGCCAGCTTAGTATCCTCTGCAAATTTGGTAAGTTCCCCTTCTATTCCCTCATCTAAGTCATTAATGGAGATATTGAAGAGTCCTGGCTCTAAGACGGAACCTTGTGGCACCCCACTGCCTACTTCCCTCCATGTAGGCTTAGACCTATGCTGAACACAGACAATCGGTCAAAGAGGACAACATCAACATCTGGAAATCTCCCTAAAGTGGAAAGCAGTTTCAATGCAGAAGGTCATCGTTATTCTGAGGAATTTTTAGTGACATGTTTTGATTTCTCCTTCGTGTTTCAGCTTCTTACTGGAGGCCGATTCTGCCATTCTTCCCTGCGTCCTCTGATTGGATTATCGTCCCACGGGAGGGCCCTTGGGCCCCACCCACTTCCATTCAGCATGGGAACGACAACTCCGCCCCTTTTCCATTCATGATTTCCGTTCTTCCCTCCCTCCCTCGCTGACTCTGTCTGACATAGAGGAGTTTGCAGGGAAAGGTAACACAACGGACACACACCACACACACACACACACACACACACACACACACACGTGTGCCTGGTAGTTCGTCCTGGGGAGATCTTTGTGACAGGAAAACTTTGGTTTTGTTTTGAGTGAGCTCTTAAAGAGGACCATAGATCTACGGGCTTGACCCATCCCGAAAAGGCAGGACAAGGATATTTTCTTGGAAATTAGACAAAAATTCGGAGCCCATCCTGAATTCAAAAGTCAGAGCTTTCCTGGTGCAGGTTTTTGTCGCATTGAGTGCTGGGTGATCCTTTTCTGCTATCATTATAGGCTGGGAAACACCTATAAATAGCACATTGTAAAGCATGGGGTTGGACTAGAAGATCTTCAAAGTCCCTCCCAACTCTGTTAGCCTGTATTCTGTAAATAGGATAGAATAAGGAATGGAATGGAATAAAAGAGAAGAGAAAATAGAAGAGAATACAAAATATAAGAGAATATAATAGAAGTAGAAATAGAAGAGAAGAGAAAATAGAAGAGAGTATAGAGAATACAATAGAATAGAACAACAGAGTTGGAAGGGACCTTGGAGATCTTCTAGTCCAACCCCCTGCCTAGGCAGGACACCCTACACCACTTCAGACAAAGAGTCATCCAATCTCTTTTGAAAAACTTCCAGTGTTGGAGCTGGAAGTAAAGTTCTACACATCACCCTCAGCTTACAACAGTTCATTTAGTGACCAAAGTTACAACAGCACTGAATAAAGGGACTTAATGACAGTTTTTTTTAACACTGTCGCAGCTTCCCCGTGGTCACGTGATCAAAATTCAGACGCT